ATAGATTTCTATATTCAACCAATTGTGTAAATTATTCCCTCTTTGAGCTAATACTAATGAGAATAAGGTTTAAGTGATGCTGTCACCCACTCTCCCATCTTCCTCTTCACTGTAATAGCTTTTTCATGCTCTTCATGTGAAATAACTTACCCCATTCTACCTTTCCCTTCCTTCTGCACCCAGTGTACTCCTCTTTCTCATCCCTTAATTTTTTTTATGTCATTACTTCAAATTCACCTTAACTGTTCTCTATCTATGTATATTCCTTTCAGCTGTACTATTAGTGATACGATTTTTAAGAATTGCAAGTATCATCTTCCCATATAGGGATGTAAATGGTTTAGCTCTATTGAATTCCTTATGTTTTCTTTTCCCTTTTTACCTGTGTATGCTTCTCTTGAGTTTTTATATCGGAATTCAAATTTTTGGTTTAATTCTGGTCTCCTTATGAAAACTTGAAATCCTTCTCTTTCATTGAATGACCCTTGTTTCCCCTTGATGTATTACACTAAATTTTACTGGGATTTTTATTTTGTGATCTTTTTCTTAAGGGGATTAGTGGATTCTTTCAGTATCCCTTTTATCCTCTGGTTCCAGATATCAAGGCAGTTTTTCTTGATAATTTCTTGAAAGATGCTGTCTAGGTCCTCCTTTTGATTATGACTTTCAGGTAGTCCAATTATTTTGATATTGTCTCTCCTGGATCTAATTTCCAGGTCAGTTGTTTTTTCCCATGATGTGTTTTATATTTCCTTTTTTTTTTCATTCTTTTGAATTTGTTTGACTGATTCTTAATGTCTCATAGAGTCATTAACTTCCATTTGCCCAATTCTAACTTTTAAGGAGTTATTTTCCTCAATTTTATTTTTTACTTTCTTTTCTATTTGGCCAATTGTACTTTTTAAGGAGTTGTTTTCTTCAATGGATTTTTCTACCTCCTTTTCCATTTGATCAATTCTATTTTTAAGCAGTTTTTTTTCAAGCTGTTGACTCTTTTTTCATAATTCTCTTGCATCACTCTCATTTCTTTTCTTAATTTTCTTCTATCTCTCTTATATGATTTTGAAGCTCCTTTTTGAGATCTTCCATGAGTTCTTCCTGGGCTTGTGACCACTTCCCATTTTTCTTTGGAGTTTGGCCCACGAATTATTTTGACATTGTTGTCCTCTTCTGAGTTTATGGCTTCCCTGTCACCATAATAACTTTCTGTGGTCAGATTCTATTTTTGTTGTTTTTTGCTGATTTTTTTGGCCTTTTTATTTTCTTTTAAATTTGAGCTCTGCTCCCAAGGTGTAAGGGCACTGTCTCAGGCTTCTTGTGCTAGTGTCTGCAGGCCCTGGATATTTACCTGGTGCTGCATTGATGTTGCCCTGAGGCCCATGGGGGACCCTCATGTTTGATACTGCACTGAGGGGGCATGGTGGAGGGTGGCTGGTGTTGCTGGGTGCTATAGGGGTCTGGCAGCTTACCTGGTGCTGAGCCAGGGTCCTAGTACTGGTGTCTGGGGTATGCTGAGGCTGGTGAAGTGTTTCTTTATTTCCCTAGGGATACACTGAAACACGTGGTGGTCTGGCCACTGGCAGCTGCCTGCTTTTTAGGCACCCATTGGGTTGGTGGCTACCTGTTTGCCTGGGACTACACTGAAGAAGGTTAAGGTCTGTCCAGTGGAGATTGCCTATTTCCCTGGGGCTATGCTAAAGCATGTGGCAGTTCTCAGAGCTGGAGTCTGCCAGATCCCCTGGTTATCCTGAGGCACATGGTGGTGGGGCTTGCTGCTGGCTTGCTGGGATGCTTCCTGTCCTGGACTGAGCTCCCATTTTACCCAAGTGAGACAGACCTTTTCTGTTGATCTTCCAACTTTCTTAGGCTCAATGATTGTTTTACCTCATCTTTTTTGCTGATTCTGCTATTCCAGGATTTGTTTTGGGATACTATTTTATGGTTGTTTGGAGGTGAATATGGAACAGTTACAGTGATTTACTGCTTACTCCACCATCTTGGCTCATGGACATCCCCTTCATAGACAGCATCTTTATGGAATTTTCCAATGATACAATGCTGGCAACAGAGCTAATGTGTTGTATTATAGAGTTAGGACAGGTTAGAATGTTCCAAGATGTAAAGATAAAGTCTTGCACTAGAATTAAATAAATTGCTCCACAAGTATAAACTGGGGGAAGCATTAATAGATAACAGTTTGTCTTTAAAAGATCTGGGGGTTTTAATGAATTGAAAGCTCAATAGAAATCAAAAGAGTAATATGTGAATAAAAACATAATACAATCTTTGAACGCATTAAACTCAGCATAGATGGCAGCCCTTGTCAAATGACCTTTAGAATGTTATTTTCCCTTCTAGATTTCACATATGAGAAAAGAAAACAATAAGCTATCTCTATTCTAATTTCAGCTTTGAGGGAGAAGGTATTAGGGAAAAAAAGAGTGGGGAAAGAGAGAACTTGAGCCCAATAAAGAGAAGGCAATTACAAGATTATCATCATCTTTATCTCTTAGAGAGATAGTGAAATGGATGAAAGGACTAATTTGGAAGGGAGAAATTTAGAAAAATTTGAGAGAAATGGAAGAAAAAATTTAAGAACACTCTCCAGGCCCAGATATGTGTCCAGATTCTACTATAGATATTTGCATTTTTGCCACAACCCAATGACTATTATCTGTGTTCTAAGTATAGTTTGATCTATTGAAGTAGAAGATGATGAGACCAGAGGAAAGACTTTATACTTTAGGTTGTTAGGGAGACTAAAGGATTCTAAAAAGAAACGGTGACAAAGGGATAAAAGAGTGATGTGGAGGAGAGGAAATTTTAACATTGTCAGTATTATAATGGATAGAAGAGTGTTACACAGAGGAGAAAAAGAAGAAAAAGGGCACCTATACAATTAGAATTTAAAAACAGATTTTAGGCTCTTCCTTAAGAAGAGAGATCTGGATGTTCTAAGACATAAAAATCTGCTTGTCTTCCAAAAAATGAAACAGTAGAGTCACAGAAGCTATCAAGTGAGAGACCATCCAGTAAGGAGCAGAGGAAAAAGAAGAAAAGTAGTAATTTCCTGCTGAGGAGCCCTCAGGCAGCTATAGACTGACTTGATAACATCGATTGAAGGGATTGTTGCCTTCCTGGGCACATATGCAAAACACAAAAATGAACCTTCCAAAACTACTCACTTCTGGTGATTCATTTGAGTACAAATGACACTCCCAGAAGGAACTTAAAAAGTATTGTCAAAGAGTATGAAGTCTTAGGTAAGAAACTGAAGACCATAAAGGCAAAGGTGTTTTGCTTATTTTTGCTCCTTAAAGGCAAGGGATGCAGAAGAGAAAAATTAATCTGGGAAGTGAACAGCTGGATACAAATGTGGTATCAGAGAATAAGATTGGATTTCTGGATCATGGATTGTAATATAGGGCTGAAAAACTTCTGGTTGGAGTCAGAATATGACTAACAAAAGCTGGTAAGAATGTATTTGCAAGACTAGCCATAATAGCAGAGTAGGAAGAGGCGGTACAGCTCAGCTTCCTCTCACAATTGTTCCAAAAAGACCTTGAAAATACAAGATTGAGCTCTTATCAGGAAAACTAAGAAAATAACCACAATGATCCCCCACTTACCCCTCAAACCTGGTCAGCATAGGGAAAGGGGTCTGCAGATACAGGGAATGGTATCTAGCCAGAAGAATGCTGTGCAGAGCCTTCCAGTTCAGGGACTGAATGAGGGCCTGTACCTGTTTACTAGGGTAAAAAGAGGTTCCAGATTCAGCACAGAGGACCTGGCTTTGTGCATAGGGCAAGAATTAGTGTCAACTGATAGCTCTGGCAGTCATACCCTAAAGTTGAGTCCTTAGTGAAGACTAAGGAAGTGTTTAGAAGTAGAGGACCAGAACAAGGATTAGTCACTAGCTAAGACTGTGTAACAAGCAAGAAGCAGGAACAGAAGCAAGCATCAACTGTGTCTCTGATACCAGGAGCAGAGTGGGGCACCTCAGATTTAGCTCCCAGCCCAGACCAAAACCTGCTGTGAAATAACCAGGGCAGGGAGCTTAGACCAAAAGGGAGCCTGTAGTTATGTGACTTTGAACCTGTAGAGCTTTCCAGGTAGCTGACAATGATTGGATTTATAGCAGCAGTCTACTGAATCTTCAACCAGAGGCATGTCCACAATTATATTGCTCAGACTCAAACCTAGTAGGAGCTTGCAAAGCTCAGACTAGGAAGGCAGTAACCAGATTTTGTCCAGAATCAGATGGTTGTGAGGATACTGAAAGCTTACAAGTTTCTAGCTTGAACTATCCTTTGAAATCCTCAAAGAATATAACTGAAAACATGGACAAAGTAGTGATAGGACCAAAGAGAACAAGAAATAAAATTTATTTGGTCCAGACTAAGAACTGTGGTCCAGACATTCATCTCAGAAGAGCCTAGTTCTAAGGTAAAATCCAAAGTTCAGATATAAGGTTGGAATAATGAATAAAAAAAGAATCCTACCACATAGAACTTTTATGGTGACAAGAATTCCCAAGACAGAAACATGGAAGAAGAGAATGACTCCAAACTATCTATAAGCAAAGACTCAATGAAAAACAGCTTGTATAGAAGGTCAACTAGAATTCCTGGAAGAAATAAAGATAAAAAAAAGCATTAAAATAATTTTACAAATGAAATAAGAGTGCTAAAGGAAAGAATTGGAAAAGAAATGAGAGGTATAGAGGAAACACTTGGAAGGAGAATTAATAGCTTAGCATAAGAAATATGAGACCAGAATGGCTAGTTTTGCAAATACATTCTTACCAGCCTTTGTTAATCATATTCTGACTCTGACCAGAAGTTTTTCAGCCCCATATTGTAATCCATGATCCAGAAATCTAAATCTTGTTCTCTTGCACTACATTTATATCCAGCTGTTCACTTCCCAGATTAATTTTTTCTCTTCTGCATCGCTTGCCTTTCAAAATTGGAATGGGCCAAATAGAAACAAATGATTCTGTACTTGCTTTAGCAACACATATACCTAAATTGGAACTATACAAAGAAGATTAGCATAACCACTGCACAAAGATGACATGAAGTTTGTCAAGTGTTCCATGCTTTTTAGTCATTAATAATATGTTATTAATTAAAAATAAAGAGGTAGATCAGAAGAACAGTGCAGACAAGGGAGAATCAGATACAATGGATCTTGATAACCTAGTGTTTGATAAAATGGAAAACAAGTTACTTATGAAAGATATTTGATAAAAACTGCTGAGAAGACAGGAAGAGAAATTAGGCTTAAACCAACACTTCAAGCCATATTCTACAATACATCCTCTATAGATACCTAACCTTACTATTAATGATCATACAATTAAAAAATTAGAAGAGAAGCAGGTCAAATACCTCTCACAGCTTTGGATAGGAGATGTATTTTTAATCAAATAAAAGACAGTGGCAATTATAAAAGATAAAACAGATAACTTTGATTGATTACATGCAAATGAAAAGCTTCTATGCGGATAAAATTAATGCATCTAGAAAAAGAAGGGAAGTGGTTGGATGAAAACAAACTTTTGTACCAGATTTCTGTGATAATGGTTTAGTATACAAGATATATAGACAATTAGCATACACATATGACCAAAAGTCATTCCCCAATAGAGAAGTGGTCAAGGGATATGAATAAATAGTTCTAAAGAAGAAATGTAATGTCTAACAACCACATAAAAGAATGTTCCAAATCACTAAAAATAAGAGAAATGCAAACAAAACAACCTTGAGGTTTTACTTCATGTTCTGCAAACTGGCAAAGATGATAAAAAAGGCAATGGTCAATGTTGGCAGGAGTTGTGGGAAGATAGGCACACTGGTAGATTGCCGTGAAGCTGTGAACTGGTGTAACTGTTTTGTAAGGCAATATGGAATTATATAAATAAATTAACTAATCCCTGACTCAGGTATTCCATTGCTGAGTTTATATATCAGGAAGTCATTCAAAAGAAGAAAGTCCCCAAATATGACAAAATGTTTATAGCAAAACTTTTGAAAGCAAAGAATTGGAAATAAAATAGATTCCCATAGGTTAAGGAATTGCTAAACAAATAGTGATCAATGTAATTGAATATTGCTACGCTGTAAGAAATAACTAATGCAATGAATAAAAAGAAATGTGAAAAGAACTACATGAACTGATCCAGAATTAAGTAAATGGATCCAAGAAAATGATTACAAAATGATTATACATACAAAATGTTCATATGCAAAATGATTATAATAATATAAGTGGAAACAACAATAACACACTCCAAAATTTTTTAAAAAATGGATGTTGCAAATTTAGAAAGATCAAGTATGGCTTGACAGAGTAGATATGAGAGAACATTCTCAACCCACTCTGTTGCAGAGGTGGGGGGTGCACAGTTATTTCATATTGCACATTTTTTTGGACTTTGTGGTGTACTTATTCTTTTACTTGATTTTTTGCTCTTTTTTTCCTTCTTTTTTCTTTCCATTAATTGTTTCCCTTCTTTCCTTCCTTTCTGTTTTCTTTCTTTCTCTTCTTTCTTTCTTTCTAAAACACTATTTATTATAGTATGGCTCTTTCAAAGGGAGAGGGAAGAGATATTGGGAAAAACTATGATGCTGTTAAAAAACAAAGACATCAATAAAACTTATTAAAGAGAAGATAATTATTGCATTAGACAACAAGAAATGTTAAAAACAAAGTCCAAAGTCTGAAAAAAATAGAAGAAAATGTAAGGTATTTCATAGCAAACACAACAGACCTGAAAGTCAGATTAGTAAGAGATAATTTAAGAATCATGCAACTACCTGAAAACTATAACAAAAAAAGGGCTTAAGTATAATACTCTAAGAAATCATAAAAGAAAACTTCCCCAGGTCTCTTACAACCAGAAGGTAGAATGAAAACAGAGAGATTCCACCAGTCACCTACTGAAAGAAATCCAAAACCAAAGAAACTCTCAAAAACAGGATATCCCAAATCTAGAGCTTCTGGGTCAAAGGAAAAAAAAATACTGTAAGCATACAGAAAGACAGAATTTAGGGACTGAGAACCTCCAGTTGTAATAATACAGGATTTAGTAGCTACCACTATAAAGAAGTGGAGAGCTTGGAATATTATATTCCTAAAGGCAAAAGATATTGGGCAAGAAAAATTTAGTCAGTCATTCAGTAAATATGATGCAAAAGACAGTCCCTTTCCTCTAGGAACTCACAATCTAATGCAAGAGACAAGAAGCAGACAAATATGTACAAACCATATTCAAGGAAAATAGAAAATGAAGGAGTGAAAGCACTAGAAGTAAGAAAGGTTGAGAAAGTCTTCCTGTAGAGGATGGGATGTTAACTGAGTCTTAAAGGAAGTCAGGAGGCAGACATGAGGAGGGAGAGAATTGCAGGCATGGAGGGACAGTCAGAGAAAATACCCAGAGCTGAAAGATGAAGTGTCTTGCTCATGGAACAGTCAGGAGGCCAGTATAATTGGATTGAAGAATATGTGGTGGAAAGTAAGGTATAAGACTGGAAAGGTAGGAGAGGGCTATGTTATGAAGACCCTGGAGGATTTTGTATTTGATCCTGGAGGCAGGTCCTAGTAGGACCTGAGCACTTTAGGAAAATAATTATAGAGGCCTAAGGGCAGAAGGATTGAAGTGAGGAGATACTTGAGAGGGAGACCTAGTAGCAAGCTGTTGTAACAATCTATCAGTGAGGGAAGAAGGGCCTACTTTAGAGTGGTGGCAGTGTCAGAGGAGAGAAGAGGATATATTCAAGAGATGTTGCAAAGGTGAAATCGACAGGCCTCAACAACAGATTGAACTGGGAGGACAGTGTTGCCAATCACAATTATAGGGAATTTGGGATAGGGAGGGTTTAGAGAGAAAGATAAGGAGTTCCATTTTGAATATGTTGAGTTTGAGCAACTTGAGATGTCTAAAGAGAAGTTAGAGATGCAAGACTGGAGGTTAGTGGAGAGGTTAGGATAGGTAGATATGTAGATTTGAGAATCATTAGGTTAAAGATAGTAATTAAATCCATGAGAGCTGATGCTATCACCCAGCACAACTGATTATAATCTTATTGGGGTCTGGGGCAGTGGGGAAGAGGGAACTTAATGAAATATAGGACTTTCAAACATTTTTGCTGACAAAACCAAAGCTTAATAGAAACTGATATGTAAATAAAGGAGTCAAGATATATATAAAAAAAAGATACACATGATTGAACAAACATAAGAGGTAAAACAAGGATGAAGTGTTTACATTCTAATGGGGTGAGATAATAAAAATGTCTCCCAGAGAGAAGGCCTGGAATTGGTTTTATTACGTTTTGATGATGTTAAAAAAATAAAGGAAAGGGAGAGAAAAAAATAATGCCCTACTTTGGGAGGCAGGAGGAGAGAAGGGGTAGGCAAAATTATTTTACATAATTATGGTATGCAAATTAAAGACTATACAAACAGAAGAAAGGGGTAGGGTGAATAGGCAATATCTGTATCTCATTTTCATTTGAATTAGTTAAAGAAGGGAAGAATACATAAGCATAGAGTTAGGTGCAGAAATACATTTTATTCAACAGAGAAGTAGAAAGGATAGAAGAGAGATGGGGAATAAGAAGGGTAGATTATTCAGAGAGGATTTAGTTCTAATAAAAAAAAAAGCACTGAATCTCTAACCAGGGAGAGTTGATCACTAAGAGGATTTTAAAAAGAAATAAAGGATAAGAACTTATGACTGGGCTATGGATGAGGGAAAGAGAAGAGAGGCAAAGGAGCAGAAGAAGACTGCATCAAACCTAGAGCAATGGTGGTTTACTTAGAGAACTGTTTAGAGGCAATTAAAAATTAATTGAAGCAATAATTAAAACAAAGTTTCAAGATAAAAATAATCCAAATAAATCACCAGCAATTTTGCATATTAGCAACAAAATCCCATAGAAAGTGATAGAAAGAGAAGTTCCATTTAAAATATCTATAGAATTTCTAAAGTACTTGGAAACCTACTTGCCAAGACATAGAAATTATATTAACACAACTATAACACACTCTTTGCACAAATGAAGACAGATACAAGTAAATGGAGAAATTGATCATGGGTAGGTAAAGCCAATATAGAATAAAAATAATAACAAAATTCATCTGGAAGAACAAAAGGTCAAAAAAATCTCAAGGGAAATAACAAAAAAAGTGGGAAAGAAGGGAGCCTAGCAGTACCAGATCTCAAATTACACTACAAAGCAGTAATTATCAAAACAATTTGGTACTGGATATGAAATAACTAAATTAGTAGAATAGATAATTAAACAATATACAGGAGCAAATGAACAGAGTAGCCTTATGTTTGATAAATCTAACATTTTACTAATTGGGATAAGAACTCAACTACTCAACAAAATTGCTGGGAAAATTGTAAAGCAGTCTGGTGTAAACTAGGTACAGACTAACATTTCCCACCACAATATGCCAAGATAAGCTCCAAATGGGTAAATGACATAGATATAAAGGGCAACATTATAAACAAATTAGAGAACTAAGGAATTAGGACTGGAATTAGGATTCTGAATAGGTATGCCTTATTCAAAACAGGATGGGTAAAAGCTGGGTGAGATAACATTGTATATTAAGATAGTATACTCATGTGAGCAAATCTGAGAACTAGGAGGAAGCATGATGCAGAGTATTTGGGAGAAGATCAAAGAAGTTAGAAACAATGATTTTTATCTCTTTAATACAGACCACCTGAGCAGAGGCTGGAAATGGAGAAATAATTTGGGAAACGTGACAAGTGTGACATAAAGATTGTAAGTAGTAGTGATGGAAAACTTTAACTGTTGAAGCTCTCTCTCTCTGTATGCCAAAAGCATAGCAACTGATAATTACCTGATTTGCCTTAGTGATAATTTCATTCTTCAAAGAGAAGAACCAACAAAGGGAAATTCTATTCTGAATCTGATTCTCATTTGGCTGGGATGGAAATGTTGGGAACCTTAGTGGCAAGTCACCATCCCATTCTGGAATTTGTGATAGAGGAGAGAAAATATGGGCTTCTTCAGACATGAACCTTAGATTTTGGTAAAACCAAAGAGTTCAGGAGAAAGATAAGTATAATCTTGGAATAAAATGGAGTAAAATCCTTCAGGGGTAGTGTTCTTAGGAAGGATATAAGAAACAAAAGGGGAAACAATTCCAATGAAGAAGGGAAATGGGATTTATCTGAAGAGACTGATGTTGATTCAGGGAGAAGTATCTGTCAAAACCAAGAAGATAACCAGTATGATTGAGAAATAGCATGCAGGAAGGGCAGTAACTTTATCTTCTACTTTCATACTTTTACATTGTGTATTCCCCAAGTCTAAAAAGTGATTCCTACTCATCTGCATCTTTTGAAGTCTATTTTCCTGTAAGACTCTGCTTAAGTATAACCTTTTTCATGATGCTACCCACCCCAGTCCCCTCTGCCTTTCTTCTCAAGGTTATTTTATATCTGCTTTATGTCTACATATATTCAAGTTACCTTTTATGTCAAAATGCAAGCCCCTTGAAAGCAGAGACTATACCTAGTACCCAGCATAATATTTGCCATAAAAAGCTACTTATCATGGACAGAGCATTCTCCAAACATCACCATCCCCATCCCCTTCCAGCCTCACACAGATGCTTGGCACCCTGCGAAAACTTCCAGAGGACTAATCCCTGTGGAAAAAGATAACCTACCAGAACTCATCCCTCAGTGATTAACATAATTCCACCCTGTCATATCCACCCAATTCTCAAGATCCTGAAAGCTAGTTGCCATTGTTCAAATCTTGTTCTCTATTCTCCACTGATAGGTTCTTTATTCTCTTTCACTTCAATTTAACCTGATCCTATCCTCCACTCCACCTCCCACTCTAAAGCTACTCAACCCTTCCACCATGCTCTCTGGTATTCTTGAACCATAGACAACTAAGTAAATTAAACCTTCAATCTAAACCTTTTCCTTTCTTGCTCTCTCCATCTTTAACTCACTGAGACTTGGCTCCCTGAACTTTCCATCTCATTCTGGGTGCAGCATATCCCATGGGGAAAGACTGCTGGGGGTGGGACTGGGCATCTTCCATCTGCCCCAAAGCAACTACTTACATCTGTACTAGTAAAAGGCATCTTCCACCTCCTGTTGCTAGCCATAGCTCCCAATTGGGATGTGGAGAACTCCCAGAGCTAAGAAGAGCAACTCTCTCTTTACTTTGGGCTTTCCATCTCCTTCTGTGCCTGTCCTTTGAGGGTAGAGTGCCCTCCACTCAATGATAAACATTCTCACACCTGGTCATACCCTTCATATCCCAGTGACTCTGGACTTCTGTAGATCACTATCCAAACCCATTTCCCACTCCCTATCATCTGATTACTCATTCCCATTCCCCTTAACCTTCCCACTTCAAGGTTTTATACTAATTCCACCCAACCCTTTCACTCTTGAATGCCTGTTCCATAGGCAACAAATTTCCCTTCATCTTAAATATTTTCCTTTCCCACTCCTTCCACATTCCAGCTCTTACTGAAACTTGGCTTCTCCTGACAGCACAGCCACCCTTTCCAGTGCTGGCTGCAACTTCACTCATTTTGCTTGGCTCACTGGTTGAGGTGGGGGAATTGGAATAGTCCTTGCTCCCCATTGCTACTTCCAGATTCTCCCCCTACCTCCATCTCTCAGTAACCTTTCCCCCTCTTAGATTCATGCTGTTCATTTCTACCACCTGATCAAAATTTTGGCAGCTATTGTTTACAGACCCCCAACATCACTCCTCTTCTTTTCTCAATGAATTTGGCACATGGTTTACAATTTTTCTTTCCTCCCCAACTCGTGCTCTCATGCTAGGGAACTTCAATATATATATTGATTCTCCCTAAAATACCCTTATCACTCAATTTATCAATCTATTCACTTCCCATGAACTATTCTTTCACCCAGCCTCAGCCACATATAAATACTGCCATACACTTGATCTTGCCATCACTCATACTACCTCTATGTTCAAGAATTTTGAAATCCCCTTATCCAGCTACAACCTTGGTTTTCACCTTTTCCTATGCCTTCCCTTATATACTCCTACTCTTCATCTACACAATGATTTCTAATCCCTTAACCTCTCAATTTTCTCCAAAGCCATATCCACTGCACTAGTCACTCTCTCCTATTTTCCTCATCTTGACACTTTGATGAACCAATTCAACTCTATGCCATTGTCTCTTGAATCCCTAGCCCTCTTATTATATACCCTTGATATTGCCACTGTCCATGGGTATTCATTTAATCATCATAATCTATTGTCATTCCACCTTTCCCTCTCCCTTGCAACTCCAAATCCTGTTCTTTACCCTCACTGTGACCTCCACTCCCTTGACCCCTTAGTTCTTTTCCAGCCTATCACCCTTGCACTGATTACATATTCTCTTCCCTTCCCCATCTTGACCCTTTGGTGAATGACCACTGACTTTTAAAATTCTATAGGATAACTTTGTTTTATAGAAATAGCATAGTTAATCTGTGTGTAAGGAGAATTATTTTGTTAAATGAATTATTTAAAAATTATTTACTTCACAAATCCAGAGTTCAATATTTTGAGTTCCTTCTAGCTTCACTTCACTCCCAGTTCACTCTGTGCTCTTTACCTCTACAGTGGCTGCCCTACTCTCATGAAGATAACTCTACTATGAATTTTATCTACTTACTTATGTGTCCTTGCCCAGGACTGCCTTATCATGAGAAAGCCTTACCCATGCTGCTCTTGTCACTTCTGGCTCACTCTCTGATTTGCTTTACCTCTACACCAGCTATCTTTCCTTCTGTGGGTAGCCCTGTCTCAACCCTTTTCCTGTTCCTCTTAATGTATTGCCTTACTCCTTTAGTCTCAGCAGATGGACTAGAAAAAGTTGAGGGCAACCAACAGGCCTCAAACCGTCAGCAACCTAGAGGTGTGTCTACCCCAAGCATGTGAAGATTTCCCCTAGGGAGTGGGTGGATGAAAACAATGGCCTTCATGGCCATTGGAACAATGGCCATGAAGGCAGCTGAAGCAGGTGTTGTGGAGTGCTTAGAGCTTGGTCAGGCATTGAAGACTCCAAGGTCATCCACTGCATCCCTGGCCATCTTTAGTCATCCTAACTTTTGTCTTGGCACTGGACTTCAATGACTCTGAAGAGAGAGTGAAGCTGATGACTTTGTGCAACTCTGCCTTACTTAAATCCATTTCACTCAAGAATCAAGACTTCATGGCATTATATCATTGATTCTCTTTGAAAATGAAGGACAAACAACAATTCCTTTAGAACATAAGCTCCTAAAGTAGGCAACATCTTTTTTGCTTTTAGCACAGGATTAGTAAGTGCTTAATAAATACATGCATTCTTTTTCTAGACTACTGAAAGTAAGATAGAACTCATAGGAACATTATTGTCTTCTAATTGGTTATTCTCTTAGATCAAAAAAGCCTAGATTAATACATTTCATAATATGATATAGTTAATCTACATAAAGTTTGATTATATCTTTTAAAACTCATGAAAACCACAAAAGATGATAATTTTCATTAATTTTATATTCAGACATGAATATTAAATGTTTTTAAAAAGGAAAAAAATCCTCAGAAAAAGAAAGAAAAGCAATCTATTTACTTCCGCAAATATCTGAATCAAGCTAAATATTTAGTGGTCATAAAATCTGTGAAGAAGATTAGCTTCAAGATACTTATAAGCATTTCTCCAATTTACCTTGAGTAGTCAGAGAGACACATATCTGCTTCTTTTTCTCTTGGAAAAATTTCTCTGGTGACTTATAACGATCCCAAATTTGGTTGTCTTCTCAAGTCATAGATGCATTCCACGAAATGGTATAGTATATACATTTTGCTTCTAATTATTCTATTTGTATGCATTGTTTTATTCATTTATAAGGGATTATGTTTAAGATATAAGATCAGTGGCCCTTAGAATTTGGGAGCTTTTTAGAAGATGACAATAAGAATAATGTAGGTGTTTTATTGTGCTTTGGGAAGCCTCTGATTGAAAGGAGGAGTATCAGATAGACAAGCTGGTACTGGATTATAATAGTAATGTGCCATGTAATAAAAAAGGGACAACCACAAGAAGGGGTAAAAATAGAGAGTAAGAGTTCAGACATTGTAGGATGAAAGCTAAAAACCCATATATATCACTCTACCAAACAGCCAGAGGCCTACAGCTCCAATCTCAGAATCTCAGTAAAAGTTTTGTTTGGGGTGTGTGTGTGTGTGTGTGTGTGTGTGTGTGTGTGTGTGTATGCATGTATGTATAAAATCATCAAGGTTTATGGTTCCTCAGTTTGAGAAATACTAAGTTAGAACAATGGTTTCTGCACAGATATTAGGCAAGTAGGAGGAATTAAAAAAGAGGTGAATAGAAGCAAAGTGTGCAATGAACATTTTATTTTCTGTACATTTGTCTTTTAGGTTGAAGGTTTGTTAGATGTAATAGGGAAAATTCTCTTTAAATTCTATGAAATAAAATGTAGATTAAGTTCAGTTTAACATTTCATTTTAACTTCCAATCTCATGAATTTTAAAGAAAATATGAATACACAAACACTTACAAAATGCTAATTATGCTTTATAAAGGAAACTCATTTGTATTCCACAATATCTTCTTAAATTTGCTCTGCATGTTATATTACAAATGTAAGGCATTTAGCAGAATATTTAAAAAATTTAAGACACCAAAATCTTGACCAAAACAAAACAGAAATTCCACAAAATGTAATTATTTTTTTAAGAAGAAAAAAAAATCAACATTCATTTTTTATGAAAGAGAAGAGGTTTCACCATCCCCGCAAGAATCTTGGGTAACTGTGCAGCAATAACTTCAGACATCATTTCTGGAAAGTCAACACTCAGTGCCCGGGACTGGATAAATGTGTTCAAGCAGTAGAGATGGAGCTGTTTCACAAGCTGTGTTGTTTGACAGATGGGTAAGAAACAGGTAAGAAAAAAGACGCAACATATTCAAATCTAGCAGCTATGTTTAAAAAAAATATGCTATCCAAGCAAGAATACTTAAGGACCATGTTAAGTAAGTAGTACCATAATTTCCCTCAGAGTAAGGAAGAAAAATGTCTCTATAATATGTGAATCTTCTCATAAATATTTTAAAAAAGAATGTTTTGATCATGCCTATGACAAATAAATAGCATAAGCTTACAGCAACACGATATGAATAACTATACTTTTTGTAATATTTATACATAGAAGCTTTGAAAGAATCATGCAAAATTAAAGTTTGAATAATTTAAAAACCAGAAATGCAGGAGTCAGTTACTGGTAATGTGAAAAAGAAAACACTTACATCATGCAGGGAGTCCATTAATCTTGTCAGTTGGTAGAAACGCTGTGAGCTAGCCACAACTCCTTTCTGCCTCAGACCAATGGCTTTGATGAGCTCTCTAATGTAGCCTGATCTCATCTCATCAAACTGGTTCTGGCTTCTCAGCCCTTCCAATGGGACTAAAAGAAGATAATTATTATTGTGGGTAACATTTGTTGGAAAAAATAATATATTACACATTTTTGACACAGGAATAGTTAATCCCTAAATAATCTAGATATTTAACTGGATAGATATTTAACCATAAATCGATTCTAATTAAATAGCGAAGACTGTCTTACATGGCAATGTGAGAACATGTGAAAGCTTCCTTTGGTTAAATAGACCAACTAGGTAAATCAGAGAAAGTTAACATAGCTGCAAATTCCCTACAAAGGTCTGTAAATTCAATTATTCTAAAGTATCAGCTTTGTTATAAAAGATCAACTCTTAAGATCTAATTCTATCAGCATATACTCAGTGTATATGCTGATAAACATCAAAATGAAAGAATGGACCAAAAAAAAAAAACTAGTCAACTCCCTATGAAAGATTACAGATATTTAGATATTTGGTCTTAGGTTGATACAGCCATTAAAGCTTAATGTTATTGTTGTTGTTTGGTTGTTTTCAGTGGTGTCAGACTCTTCATGACCCTAACTTAGGGTTTTCGTGGCAGAGATACTGGAGTGGTTTGCTATTTTTTTCTCCAGTTCATTTTACAGATGAAGAATCTGTGGCAAACAGGGTTAAGTGACTTGCCCAGGGTCATATAGCTAGTGACTGTCTGAGGCCAGATTTGAACTCAGGAAGATAAATCTTCCTGACTCCAGGCCTGGCACTCTATCCACTGTTCTACCTAGCTGCCCACTGAAGCTTAATGCAGAATATTTATTCTTATAAGCTGCTCACATTTTCATTTGCATAACATATGTGAAAAAGATTCATTAAACACACAATTGGGAGAAAGTTTCTGGTATGAATCAGGATGTACTAAAATGATATCTTTTGTAAATAAAGCTAAATAGCTAGACAAATGCATATCCTTATCTGAAAAATGGAAAATAATACTGTCCCTCCTAATAATAGAAGGAAAATAATAGTTAACTACTAAACAATTGGAGAGTGTTATTAATATTATGTTTTATAATATCTACATTAGAATGTTTAATGAACTCTTCATCAATTTCTTCTAAGTGAAGGATTTAAAATATAATATAAAATCATACTAATCTTACATGCACTTGTGAGAAATACCTTATTATCTTTTATCTATTGAAGGAAGAAGTTCTAGTTTTATAAAAAAAAAAAATCTGTTCTTGGTTTACTAAGACACACAAATCCAGCTCAAAGATTCCATAATCTTAATGGTAATGAGATATACTACTAAGGCAGAGGACCCTTTAAAAAGTGATACAGATACCCATAATAGAGAGGTACATAATGGCTGGGATAATTTCTTTTATAATTGGTGACAGTCTTTATGGTAGTTATGGAAGTGAAAGTACATCTAAATTGTTATCTTATCTCTTTGTCACAAATCTATTACAGAGATTCCACTCTACTATTCAATTGCTGCCTCCAATCAAAACTTCAAAACCTAATAGTATCAAGTTAGGGTATTGATTACTTCAATACCTCAAATGACCCTTGACTTCCCTGGTGTGTGCACTCCCTTGCAATTCTAATTAATAGAGATTGAAACCTGCTTTAGGACTAATATACTGTACTTATTAGCTTCCAAGGCCATTAAAAATTCACCACCTTGGGGGGTAGGCAGAGCCAAGATGGCAGAGTAAAAGCAGTGACTTGCTTGAGCTCTCCCCCAAACCCCTCCAAATATGTGTAAAAAAAAATGGCTCTAAACAAATTCTAAAGCAGCACAAACCACAAAAAGACAGAGTGAAATAAATTTCCAGCCCAAGACAACATGGATGGTTGATCAGAAAGGTATATAGTGCTGGGTGGGGAGAGGAATGCAGTTTGGTGTGGGTGTGTAGGTCTCAGTGAACCTGGAGCAGATCTCAGAGGACTGGATCATGGGCAGCTGTGGCAGTTTCCAGACTTCTCAACCCATGAATGCCAAAGAAAACTAAGAAGGTCAGGAGGAAAAGTCTGTGTCTGTGGTGAGAGAAAAGTGCGGTTCCAGCCCCCACAGACCTGGGTGGTGGCTGCTTCTGAAGCTTCTGGCTCACAGACTCAGGGGGAATTGAGTGGTTGATCAGAGGGGGATTTCAGGGATCTCTTTGCTGGTGAAGGATTCTCTTGCTTTGCCCATGCTTAGATCTGGGTCACAATTCTGGGTGGCAGTCCTGGGGCAAGGAGGAGTGCTGGCGTGGTGGAGCTTGTAGTGGTGTTGGAGAGGATATCCTCTTCTCAGATCCAAGGCAGAAAAGAGTGCTTGTGGTCACTCATAGACCAGAACACAGGCCAGGAAAGGATTTAAACACCTGGCCCTTGATCATAGCACTTTGGAAGAACTGAAAATTTACAGGTCCCTAGAAGTATCTCTGAAAAATAATTCCACAAAACCCTGGAAGCTTGGAACAGTACATTCTCCACACTGGAAGTAGACCTCTACCTTAACAAAGAGTTTATAACTTAAGTAATTGACTGGGATCATGAGCAAATAATGCAAAAAAAAAATTCAGACTACAGAATGTTACTTTGGTGACAAAGAGGATAAAAATATACAACCAGATAAAGACAACAAAGTCAAAGCTCCTACACCCAAAGCCTCCAAGAAAAATATGAATTGGTCCCAGGCCATGGAAGAGCTCAAGAAGGATTTTGAGAAGAAAGTAAGAGAAGTAGAGGAAAAACTGAGAGTGATGTAAGAAAATCATGAAAAACAAGGCAATAGCTTGCTAAAGGAGGCCCAAAAAAATACTGAAGAAAATAACACCTTGAAAAATAGCCTAACCCAAATGCAAAAGAGGTCCAAAAAGCCAATAAGGAGAAGAATGCCTTGAAAAGCAAAATTGGCCACATGGAAAAGGAAGTCCAAAAGTTTACTGAAGAAAATACTTTCTTAAAAATTAGAACGGAGCAATTGGAAGCTAGTAACTTTATGAGAAATCAAGACACTGTAAACCAAATTCAAAAGAATAAAAAAAATAAAAAAACAATGTGAAATATCTCATTGGAAAAACAACTGACCTGGAAAATAGACCTAGGAGAGAGAATTTAAAAATTATTGGACTATCTGAAAGCCATGATCAAAAAAAGAGCCTAGATATCATCTTTCAAGAAATTATCAAGGAAAACTGCCTTGATAATCTAGAAGCAGAGGGCAAAATAGAAATGGAAAGAATCCACCAATCACCTCCTGAAAGAGATCCTCAAAGGAAAACTCCTAGGAATATTGTAGCCAAATTCCAGAGTTCCCAGGTCAAAGAGAAAATATTGCAAGCAGCCAGAAAGAAACAATTCAAGTATTGTGGAAAAACAGTCAGGATAACACAAGATTTAGCAGCTTCTCCATTAAGGGTCCTGAGGACGTGGAGTATGATATTCCAGAGGGCAAAAGAGATAAGATTATAGCCAAGAATCACCTACCCAGCAAAACTGAGCATAATCCTTCAGGGGGAAAAATGGATATTCAGTGAAATAGAGGACTTTCAAGCATTCTTGATGAAAAGACCAGAGCTGAATAGAAAATTTGACTTTCAGATACAAGACTCAAGAGAAACATGAAGAGGTAAACAGGAAAGAAAAATCACAAGAGACTTATTAAGGTTGAACTGTTTATTTTCTGCATGGAAAGATGATATTTGTAACTCATGAGTCCTTTGTCAGTATTGGAGTAGTTGGAGGGAAAAAATTATTTGTATATGTGTGTGTATATATATGTATATGTATATACACACACACACACACACAGAGAGAGAGAGAGAGAGAGAGAGGGATCAATAGAGGGCACAGGGTGAGTTGAAGATGAAGGGTTGATATCTGGAGGATAAAGTTAAGGGGTGAGAGAGGATTATATGGAGAGAAGGAGAAAGGGAGAGGTTTTTTTTTTTTTACAGTGGAGGCTTTTACAGTGGAGTGGAAACAGGGGAAGGTAAGAGGGAATGAGTGAATCTTAATCTCATAGGATTTGGCTTAAGGAGAGAATAACATACACACTCAATTGGGTATGGAAATCTATCTTACCCTATAGGAAAATCAGGGGGGGAAGGGGACAAGAGAGTAGGGGGATGATAGAGGGGAGGGCAGATTGGGAGAGGGGGTAATCAGAAGCAAACACTTCTGAGGAGGGACAGGGTCAAAAGAGAGAATAGCATAAATGGGGGGTGGGATAGCATTAAGGGAAATATATTTTGTTTTTTACAATATGACTGCTATGGAAGTGCTTTGCATGACTACACATGTATAACCTGTATTGAGTTGCTTGCCTGGGGAGGGAGGAAGGGAGAAAATTTGGAACCCAAAGTTTTAAAATCAAAAATTAAAAAAAATTGTTTTCACAAGCAACTGGGAAATAAGATATACAGGAAATGGGGTATAGAAATCTCTCCTGCCCTACAGGAAAATTGAAGGGGTAGGGGATAAGAGAAGTGGGGGGAGAGATAGAAGGGAGGGCAGATTAGGAGAAGGGATATTCAGAATGCATGCCATCTTGGGGTGGGGGGAGGGATGAGATGGGGAGAAAATTTGGAACTCAAAATCTTGTGGAAGTGAATGATGAAAACTAAAAATAAATAAATTAATTTTAAAAAATAGAAATGTTGGAAGGGTGTGGAATGTGAAATAATGGGGAGCATATTTGACCCATAGTCAGAAAGACTTGGGGTCAACAAAAAAAATTTTTAAAAAATGGTTATATTATTTAAAAAATTTCACCATCTGGTAGACAAACTGTTTTTTTTTTTTTTTTTTGGTAAGGCCATCAGGGGTTAAGTGATTTGTCCAGGGTCACACAGCTAGTAAGTATTAAGTGTCTGAGGCTGGATTTGAACTCAGTTCCTCTTTACTCCAGAGCCAGTGCTCTATCCACTGAGCCACCTAGCTGCCCCCAGCCAACTGTTTTTTGATCAACCTCTGTAAAGTTAGTTCTGATTCAATAATATCTTTCAGGTCTAGCTCCTCTTTCTTATTTCTACTGCAACCACCCAATTTTAGGCCTTTATCTCTTTCAGTTCAATTAATTCAGTTTAGCTGACCATCCATCCCTAATTCTCTATACTGTGCTATCATACTCCAGCTGCCTCCTAACTCCACTTTTGCTCCACCTGCTTCAATTGGTGACTTCGTCTCAGAACTTCCATTTTTGGGAAAGGTCCCCAGACCAACCATCCTCCATTCTATGATCTTAGCCACCAAGTTCCCCACATGGTTCTTTCTGCCTTTCATCTCCCCTTTTATGTGTTGCCTTCTCCCATTAGAATGTAAGATCCTTGAGGGTATTTGTTTGCATTTGTATTCTCAGCACATGACATAGTGCCTAGTACATAGTCAACACTTAATAAATGCTTGTCAATGTGTGCTAACTACAAGATGTTTTGCCATGTATTATGTCTATAAAGAATAAAATTAAAGTTCCTTTATTTAAGGAGCTTAAATTTGCTGGGGTAAATATAAATAAATAAGTAAAAATATATGTTAAAAACGTGATTTTTAGGAGTGAAAGAACACTAACTGTTAGGGAATCATGGAAGTCTTGTGTGTAATCATAAAAGCTAAGGGACAGGAGATCAAATGTCAAGCACAGGGAAAAACAATTATGCCAATTTGAGGAGTACAATGCATGAAGAGAAGTATTGTGAATTGAATTATGAATTGACCTCTGGGTCTGTCTGTCTCCTATGCCTGTGCCAGAAAAAGGACTCATAACTTTACCTTCAGTTTCCTCATTAGAATTCAGTCCAATATTTTATCTAGACATGTTTGGAAGTTCTGATTTTCTTTTTTTCACAGTGGGTAGAGTGGTGGAGAGCTTGCTGTGCTGCTTCTTGCTACTCTTTCATCTTGGCTCTGCCTACTCATGCATTTTCACAGACTATTCTCCATTACCTGAATGTTCTCTCTGGTGAGATCTCAAATGTCTTCATAGCATAACTCAAATGCTACTTCTTGCATTGCCACTTTCACACTGTGAGTGAATTTCCCCTGATGCCCCCTCCCAACAACACCAATTACCTTGTATTTGTCAAAATGTTGCTTCTTTTCAATATTCTAGAAGTTCCTTTAAGATAGAGACTTTCACTTTTTGTCTGTTTCTCTAGTGCCTTGCACAACGTGTGGTCTAAATTTAATGTGTGTTTGATGAACTGAATTAAAATTTTAAGGGTAACACTCATTACTGGGTACTTTTCTCTTTTAAAGATACTATAAATGATCTTGTTGCATCAAATAATCCTTATATTGTCTTAAATTTTAATAATGCACCCTAAGGGAAGAGTTAATTACTCACTTGTATTGAGAAGCAATAACACTTTCATACAGAGAAATTCTTCTTGGGTAACTTGAAGCTTGACAAATTCCTGTGGGATCTGCCACATGGTAAGGCATAAGGAGTAGAATGATGATTCTTTCATTCGCTGTCTTGCACCACCACAAAAAAATAAAAATAAATAAATAAACAACAACAAAAACAATACAGCATCTCAGATAATCAAACATTATAATATTATCAGAGAATGTGATACCATTAAACAACTTAGCATATTTTTGCATACAAAATCCTTTCATTTACAAATAAATTAAATATTTGGAATTTTAGTCCAACAAAAATGTGTTTCATAAGTAGGGAAATAATGTTTTTTATGTAACCTAAAGCTTTGATGATAAAGGATTTTCAGATTGGGATAAATCTTACTAGAAAGTTAGAAATATAAGTGCAGAAGAACAGTTTTTGCAAAGGTAATCAGGCAGACAGGAAAGATTAGAAAAGGTATTAGTTACATATTCTATTGAATCATAATTTTAATTTTACACACCAAAAGAGGAAGGGAACAAAATTCCAAGAACTATAAATAAAGAAGCAAATGCTGCTCAGGAATAGGAAAAATTTGTGTGGTTTGAGGATATAATAAGGAGAGTAGAGTTCCTAGAATCAGGAAATTGATAAATTACTATATAGAATGATTTTCAAGATGGGACCTACAGTTCCCAGTTACAATGGTCACATAAATCAAATAAATTAATGTGATGCAATTGATGGAAAATACTCATTTTACAAAAATGAGTCTTATGAACATCATTGTTAGGATAACTGTATAATGGTGAGAGGACACAGAAAATTACATTGGCATAGGTTAATAAGCTTAAAATAATTTATAAGATCAAATTAAATTATGAAATTTATGGTATTTTACTTTAGATTTTTAACATTCCTTTTGTTACCTAAGTAGTATAGTGCTTGACATGTATTCAGGAAGACCTGAGTTTGAATCCTGCTTTGGATACTTCCTAACTACATAATCCTAGGCAAAGTCACTTAACTTCTCTCACATTCATTTTCCTCATCTGTAAAATGGGCACAATAATAGCAACTACCTCATAGTGTTGTGAAGTTCAAATAAAATTATAGAAAACACTTTTTAAAGCTTATATAAATATTAACAATTATTATTTTGAAAGGTCACTATTAAGACAAACGAAATAAGCAGGATTAAATTAGCAATTATAATTTATTTTAATAATTAAAATTATTTTGTGACAAGATTTTTCTTGATGACAGAGACAAGGAACATTACAGAAACTTATATATTACTAAATTAGTTTATTCTCTTTCTCATTTTTGTAGTCTAATTTTTCCAGTAAAAAAGAGTATATTTCTTTTCATGTTGAACCATATTTTAACTTTTTAAAAGACAAAGTACTCTTGTGTTTTCTCTTTTATTAACTTTAAATAATGATACTATACAACTAGACTTATGTCTTTAATATTTCAAATTATATTTAAAATATTTTTAATTGAGAAAATTACTTAAAACTCAGACATAACAGATGAAAAGGAGAAATCTTAGTCATCATAATATAAATAAAATCACACAATGTTTTTCAAATTATCTTCTTGAAAAGCATTCTTTTTTGTTGTTGTTGTTGATGATGATGCTGGCCCTAATCCTATCAGCAAATCTTCATTATTAAGTAAATTTTGCTTGGAAGAAGTATTAAGTAAAATGAAACTTTAATAATTTCAAAAATTCTTAATAGGCAATCTGCTATACTTACTCATTAAGTATCAGATCAGGTGCAAAATATAGCATTTGACCACTGACATGTTTATATGATCTCCACCCCAGTCCAAACACCATTAAACTCATCCAAGAATATTGGATGAGAGTTATCTGATCATCAATATGTAAGTTACGGAATCCTAGAAATCAAATGCAAAATTAAAATAGGCCAGAAAGAATTTCATTATGTAAGAAGAATTAAAAACCACTCTGAGTTCCTATCAAGTTATATGAGTTGTATAGTAGTAAAACATTATCAATACTAATCTCACAAACTATGATGTTATAGTACCAAATACCAATTGCTAATAAACCCAATTAAAAAAATAAACACAGAAATGACAGAAGTAATTTTAAATTGGTCATTGAAATTTTTCATTTCTGTAAGTTACATGACATACTTTCCGAAACTACTATCTACTATAGCTACTTTATTTGAACTCAAGGTTCAAATCTATTTATAAGCGATCTGTTCCAAGTATTGTTCAAAAAATTGAGCAAAACAAAAACCTTGCCACTAAAAAACCCCCCAACTACTATTGGTCAATAGAGTGAAGAATTCCATTTCTTGATGATGTATGAAATCTCAAGTTGCGGAGTGACCTCTGGGAAAGAGCTATTGGTCCCTGCTTATAAATTTAAAATATCTCCCATTTCTAGAAGAGGGGAATACAAGAAGAAAGGAATCTTGGATCTTTTTTTACATGTCTTTTGATACAATACAGAAGGGAAAAAGTTGGGATGTAAAGAAAAAAAGTTCAAAAGGGTAAGAGGTGGGAGTAATTCCTCAGAACTAGAAAAAACCAACGTTTCATAAAAGTGGCAACTTCTCTGACTCCCTTTCTTTACACTCCACTCAAACCCAATTAGGTGCACTTATTCTGTGTTCATATATGGTATATGTTATTGTTCAGCTGTTCTGCTTTTCAAGCCAGCTGTCCCCAGAGTACAACACACATAGCTAGCAAATAGCAAGACCAGGACTCAGAGTCACATCTTCTAGTTTCCAATCCAGGGCCTTATTATATTTGCTGTTCAGTTGTGTCCAACTCTTACTGACTCCATTGCTTGGCAAAGATACTGGAGTGGTTTACCATTTCCTTCTCCAGTTCATTTGACAGATGAAGAAACTGAGGTAAACAGGGTGAAGTGACTTGCCCAGGGTCACACAGCTAGTAAGTGTCTGAGGCCAGATTTGAATTCAGGAAGATAAGTCTTCCTGACTCCAGGCCTGGCACCCTCCACTCACCACCTATCTGCCCCTCATATGGTATATACCACTTCTATTTATATATAACCAACCAGTATTGAGATTTTCCCTGTAGGCATTTCTTACTTTACATGATAGATACATCTTTAAGAAGTATGTAAAATTAAATTTTATAACACTAGAGGGAAGGTGATGCTTAAAAATTTTAAAGTATTTTGTAAATGAATATGCACCATTTAATTTGTTTTGAAATTCTGGATCGGATCTTCACAAAACTAAGGCCTAGGGAGATTAAGCGACTTGTCCAATATTACATAGTGAGCAAGAAACTGGGTCGGGATTTAAAATCAGGGCCTCTGACTTCACAACCAGTTCCTTTTCTACTTTACCATATTATTTCTCTTATTGGTTGTTTTTATATTACGTCGCATGGGAACTACCAGAATTTTATGAAGTGAGATTTGAATAAGGAAACTATTAAAGATAATATGTCTATTGATACCATCAGGTAAAAAGCCATTACTTTCAATAATGTCTCTAGTTATTGTTAGCCATTTTAATATAGCCTAAGAATGCTTCCTTTGGGAAATAATTTCATAATTTTCAAATATTTCACCTAGTATTTAATATATATTTTTTGCTTTCTTGCATTGAGGTACTAATTTAAAAATCCTTCAGTTACTTTATCCCTTAAATTACATATTCTACCTCTTATTGAATTTAAAATTTTTGTGTATTTTTTTGGATACCAGATCTAAACTAAAAATAACTTTGTTACACAAGAGTAAAGCTAAAATTAGTTGAAGGACCTGAAATTTCAAATACTGCCAAATTATCGGCATTATCTTATCTGCATAATTGCATTGAATAATTACTACTACAATTACTTTCCCTTTTACAGTGTTTACCAGTGATAAATTGGGTACTGCTAAATTGACTTCAACATTTCAAATACAGTGATATATATATTTTTCCCTTAACTATAATATCATATATTATCATATGCCTACACAAAGAAGGGAACACTGAAATCAAATTCCCCTTGAAGATAATAATCAAGTAAACAGTACATTTGGAATGATGGTCAAAATGAAAAAAAGACTTCATGTACAGAGGTGATTGATGACTACTAATTGTTTAACCATGAGTAGAAAAAAAGTCCTTTTTCTTATAATTTGACCTGTTAATTTCTGATAGGAGCAGAAATTAAAAAGCGCCCAATCTCAAAGATTATAAAGTCTTTAAAAAGTACAATTCTGGAGATGACTTGTGACCTACTAGGTTTCCTTCATCTTATCTCTATCTTTTAATCACAAGAATGTAAAATGTCACGATGCCATCAAAAGACTAATTTTGTGAAGAAATGCAGTGTTTGTTAATTTTGGGAACAATAGTGGTGGTGGTGGTGGTTGGATTGTAGTACTCTTTGCACCATGAATACTTTGTCTATAAGTTAGGGATCATATGGTATAGATGGAAAAAATATGGACTAAAAAATATTTAGCTGTGGCCTAAATACTGTTTAGCTGGGGAAGTGTTGTCTGGATTATCAATTTACTAGTGGGCCATTTCTGGAAAACCAGAAATGTTGGGTAAAGTCCAAAATTATAGGTTAAGTTCTGGACATGAATAGAGTATCTTGATATATTGAATACCTGACCAATTATTGAAAAGTGGTGGCCAATTTCATATGAAGTTCAATTGTTACAAAGTAAAGCAAGAGCTAAGCTCCAAAACAGAATTAATAGATTTTAAAGTAATAATAATAATGATGATAATCATAGTAATCATAATGATAACAGCAGATAATGTTATTGTTATAACAATTTTGCTCTTGCTACTGTCATAAATGAATAAAAACAATAGCAAAACAAGTGAAATAAGCATAAAAAAGAATCAAAGTATACATTCCATCATCAAAATATGTTGGAAAAATGTTTAAGTCCATCAGGGATGGGGAGATGACATTCAGTAATCTAAACAAAAACTTATTTTATTTGATCATGGTTTTGGGAAAAATATTTCTGAAAGAGGTAAACAAAACCACATATTAAGCTCCCACTTATATTTCAAGTAGGCTTCTTTGTCATTTCTATCAGCTTCATTTGAATATTTCAAAGAATTTTAGAAGAATTTTAAGGAACTTTGATCAGGGACTTAAGGGCCTTTTTTTCTACAGTGATTTAAAAAAATTTTTTTTAAAGAAAAACTCTATTACAGAATCATTAGAATGTATACCTTAGATTATATTTTTGTTAAATTTTAACTCCAGAAAATGAAGGAAAGCATAGGGAAAAGACAGAATTCAGTATAGTTTACCTCAGTGATAACCAAGAAGAGTGGTATGGACAATCAATATACATAATTTTAGAAAGGTGAAGACAGTGAAGAAAATAGATACTGAACTTAGGAATTAGGGAAAAAAAGAGTGGTTCTATAATTCTATTCTTCATGTTACATGAATGTATTGGACCATTCCAAATTTAAAAAGACCATAAAAATAAAGAATATTCAATAATCAGTGGCAATTGTAATTTTTGATAAAATTATATGAAACATACATTTTGTAGGAAAACATGTCTAGTTTAATGAAATACATTGGAAAATTATAAACAGAAATAAACCATCTGCTAATAGAATGTTCTCATCTTATTACAGAATTGTATTTCAAAAGTTCATTAGCAGGTTGGTTGGAACCTGAGGGCATATTTTGACAGAAACAATGTTATAAATGGTGAATAGGTATTCCTATGACAGCTAACAAATGCCTATTTAACCCATGTTTAATTCACAAAATAACTCACAGAACATGTACATTTATAATGAAAAACAAAAGACAATGCAAATAAAACAAAACAGAAAAGCAATAAAATTGAGTAAGAAATGTTTTTTTATCTTTGTGCTTAAGGAGAAGCAGGTTTAATTAAAGGAATACAAATTAGTTCTAAAATGGGTGTTCTTCTGGAGTCTGTGGATAGATTTCAGCGGGTCCATGAACTTTTCATGGGAAAAAATTACATCTTTATTTTCACTAAACTCTAAAAGAAATTTAGCACTGAATTAAAGAAGGGGTCCATAGACTTCCCCAAACTGAAAAAGGGCTCAAAGACACAAAAAGATTAAGAATTCCTATTCTAGAAGGTTGAAGAGGTAGATATTTCATTGCTCAAAACTCATTAAGTTCCAGCCCAAAGATTTTCTTTGACTCACCTCCTCATTTCTCTCTTCCTAATGTCTGTCCAGGTTAATTTCAATTTCAAGGAATGAACCTTGAACCAAATACTATAATTGTTTCCCCCTTTCTCTCTTACCTGATTCATAAAAGGCACAAGAATACTACAAATGGCCTAATTGTGATGAGTAGAAGGAAACTCATTGAGAAATCAGATCTAACAAAGAAATATGCTCCCAGGTTATGGAAACTAATTTCAGTGGTTATGTCTTGTTTCATTGCAAAACTTTTGCCTTTTCATTTTCTTTGATGTGACTGTATTACTGGCATGACTCATGCCTATCAACTATGCTTGGGTTAAGTAATTGGATCACAGAAGGAAGGAAGAGAGGGAAGGTATAAGGAGATAGTTTTTCTTATGGTAACTAGCAAGCTTCAGAAGAGGAATGAGAAGAGGTGAAATGGAGAGACATGGGCATGGAGAGGTGTCATAATAAAGTTTGGTGTATTATGATTGAATTACCAGACCCCAAGAGCCACTTTTTAATGGCCTGATGTCACTTACTTGAACCTTTGTTCAAGTAAAATATAATAGAGAGATATAAAATCCTACACTTGTGTTTAAAAATTAATCAACTTCTCAAGAACAAGATGTGGCTAGATCATATGAAAAAGGATCTTTGACCTTCAGTGGATTGTGATTTTGATAAATCAAAAGTGCAACATAATAGTTCTAAAAATTATGCTAACTTGGCAGC